ACTTTGTACCCAGTTGCTGCTTTATGTAGGTCACTATGCCTTTTCAAATTTCAAAAAACAATCCAATCATTAATTTGAAACTACATGCTCAATGCTTCCATACACTAATGTTGTACACTCTATTCAATACAATCCTTATATACGTTATATTTCACATTTTTTGCAAAAGCATAGTAATCACAAACTAATACAACAATCTTTATGTTAATAAATAACATACTTCAATTTTCTGTCCAATAAGAGAAGGCTTAAAGTGGAGGGTAGTCACATGATCAGCACACATTTTGAAGTGGTGTGAAAATGAAAGGGTATAAAAGACTGGTGCACTGTTAGTGAAACTTTTTAGCAATGCTTAGAGATAACTTTGGGTTAGAGGAGATAGTACCATTTTTGGGAAGAAAAAATGTTTGAAGTTTATTTAGGAGGTTTTAGAGATTACACAAACGAATTTTGAGATTTTTGAGATGAAAAAAATTTTGTTAATCTTATCATGAAAATCACTTTGCACTCGAGCTAAGTAAAAAAAAAAAGACAAAATATTCATGGATAAATGTATATTAAAAATACGTTATTAAAAAATCTGATATTATTTTGTACAAAAGACGTCAATTCGACTGATCTCGGAACAAGAGAGCTAAATTGAAATTTAGAGCATACCTCATCAATTCAAACTCCCCATCAGGTGGAATAAAACTGATGCTGTGTTCACTCTCAAATTTACTCAACTTCACACACTGATGAAACTGACAATCATCTATAGCAATTGATGTCTTCCCCGAACTAAAGAAATGGTTAAATATTTCTTTCAGGAGAAATGAGCTGTTAAATCACATCTCAAAAACAAAAATCTTTCCCTGATAAATTATACCTCATAAAAATCTTTCACTAATAAATTATACCTCATAAAAATCTTTCACTAATAAATTATACCTCATAAAAATCTTTCACTAATAAATTATACTTCATAAAAAATCTTTCACTAATAAATCATTTCTCACAAATAACTTTTTCTAATAATACTTTTCTCTGATAAATAAAAGATTTCAAACTCCTTTCCCTAATAAATCATACCTCATAAACAAATGTATTCACTTATAAATCACTGCTCACAAATAATTATCTTTCCCCAATAAAACACTGCACAAATAAGTTCCTAATAAATCATACCTCACAAACAAACAATTTTCCTTAATAATCTCATACAAATATTTTTCCATAATAAATCACATCACATAATCAGATATAACAATGTTCTGGGACAATATGAGATCTATTGGTCCATCTCAGCTGTTCCATCCTCTAAACTAAATTAAAATAATTAAACATTTTTCTTTATCATTCACATATTTATCAACCTTTTTCTTAAACTCACTTAAATTTACTGCCTCTACAACATCTGAAGGCAACCCATTCTAAAGGCCAACCACCCTGTTAGGAAAATGAAACTGTCTTAGCTGAAGATGACTCCAATCTTGCCAAAATTTATATTTGTGTCCCCTAGCCCTACTATTCTCACTGTTAAATATGAAAAAAGATGATCCATCAACACTATCAATTCCCTTTACAATCTTATAATCCTCAATCA